ATCAGTATATATTATTATTTAAATAATGTACACGTGCGTTTGATGAACAGGCGCTGCTCTTCTCTATTCGCAACATTTGATTACATGAAATGAATACCAATGAATTTATGAACAACAACAACAATGACAAGATAGAGTGCTAAAAAAAAGCTTGAATAGTAAACAAAAAAAAAATCTAAGTTTGTTCTGTGTTTAGTGTGTGTGTCGGCTTATTGTGTTGCTCGGCAACTTAGCGGCAACGTATTTTTTTTTTAGCCGCATATGAATTGAATGTAAATATTGTTCTTGCACGTTTTATTATTGCCAAATTGTTGTCTGTTCACCAAAAACCGAATATTACACAAATTTACACCTTCTATTCAGTTTGGTTGCTGGCACGATCCTTTTGTTTAACTAGGTTTGTGTGCTAACTCGTGCATATTGTCAAAAATACAACAAATCAACAAATTATATCATTGATGAGTAATATATTCAGTGACCATTTTTTTTTCTCTAGCGCATTTGGACGTGATTTGAATGATTGGACAAAAAAAGAGCAACATATCTGATAAAATGTAAATATTAGAGAGATTTGATCATTTTCTTTTTTTCTGATTGACATGCTTGTCTCTTTTGGCCTTTGCGATACAACAAGTGTTTGCCAATGTCATATCAGTAAAATTGAATTTGAAAAAAAAAACACACTAACCACATAAGTCCAATTGAATTCAGTAAGTTTGAATGAGTGTGGGGGTATCTACGCAAAATCTCTTTAATCGAATCCAAATGTTCATTTTTGCTGCAATTTAAACAAAGGAATTCACATGCTATGAAGGAAATGATAAAAGTGGCCTCCTTTTGTCACTAAAGGTCTAGCCAAATGTGTGAACCAAAAAAGAACCAAAACGACATTTCATTTTTAATCACTACATGCCCGAGGTGAAACTGTGTCTTTAAAAAGAACAAAAAAGATCGAAACATTCAGGAATATATACATATATATTAAATAAAAATAATCCACATTGCTATCAGACTTTAGTTTTTTACACATTTTATATTATCACACAGACATACCACTTCGCGTAAAGTCTATTTTTACATTAAAACTGGTGTAATTAATAAGTGTAAGCTTGAAGACGCGACTGAAATTTACATCGCCGGCAATTTTGGCAACAATGCAAACTCTATAGTGAATTTGTTTCCATAAATTTCGTGGCAAAGTTGAAAAATACCGACTTTCAAAAAAGTCATCTTTTTCGAAAAAAAAAATTGGACCCCAGGTTGAAACAAATGTGGACGTTCCCTCAAAACTCTATTGAACAAATATTTTCTGAAAATAAAGAAAATCTCATTGCTCACCATCCGTTATTGACGACAGTTACCATTAAAATATATTCTGAACATCCTCTGCAAATGGAGGAAAATAGGAAAAAAAATAAATTTTAGTAAAATTCGACCATGGAAAAACTGTTTTTCCAACTTGAAAATCCACAATTTACCTCTCATAAAACCTCTCTTCGGTCAGAACTTTTTATAGACACAGTTTTTTTTTTTGCAGTGCACAGTAGCAAGCGATGAGCGAGTGAAACGAATAAAAAAAAGAAGACAATCTTGAAAAAGTTTATGATTTCACATTTGGTCGTTGGCATATGTCATAAAATGCTAGACAAGCAATTGAATTAATTTTCATTTCATTAAAGCATAGCGTAAAATTGGAGATTACATAAATTGCGTTAACGGTTCATTGCCTACATTTCTTGCCGTTAACTCAAATAAAAAGGCGCAAATACCAAGCAGAAGGAATTTAAACTACCCATTTGAAATTGGTTCTATTTTTTTTGTGTATGTCGTTCAAAAATATCAAGAGCATAATCATATCAACAATAACAACGAAAGAAAAAAGTAATAACCATAATAACACTCTGATTATACGGTCAATGAATATTTCAACAAATTTTCGTTGTTCTAATGTAGGTGCATTATGAAGTTCATTGAATCAACAAATATGATAGGGCAATACAATAGCGCACTGAACAGATGAATTTCATGGGATTTGACGCCTTTTTCTCGGAAATGTCAACACATTACGAAGTCAAATTATCAGCACAACGACTATTTAATAGTCGTGCGCTTGGCATACACTAAAAATGAAACAAAGACAGAGATTATGTACTTGGCTTTGGAACGACGACAACAACAACAACAAATGATCGGTCGTCATATATTTATAGTATTTACGATTTGATGTGTTTGTATTTCTTTAAATGATTTGCTCCAAATAGATTACAGCCAATTGTTTGATAATAGCTTTTGTTTTAGACACACGCACACATATTATATAAATTGCATATCAATTTCCATACGTACACAATATACGCAGTACACATGAACTCGAATTGGACATTTTAATTTTATACATATAGTGTATAATATAGATAAACATGTGTAGATTATTGAAACTGGGTATGAAATTTTTCACACCCAAAATGCGCGCACACGAAAACAACAAGCAAACGGACAAAAACACAGTTGATAAGATGGATAGAGTGAGAGGAGGCAGAGAGAGAGCGTTGCAAAATGAATTAAGGAGCCTTAGAAAAAAAAATGGCGAGATAAAAAGGCAAGAGTGAAACGGAATGTGAATAATAAAACGATCGACGAATTCAAAAACGTTGTGTGCACATTTGCAATGTACATACATTTTTTTCTCTCTCTCGTTTGCCTATTTAAAGTTCAACTATCTCAGATAAGACAAAATCATTTGCAATGGCATCGAATATCGTGCACTTTACGCGAATTGTGATCTGAATTCAATCGCATAAATGTAGCACTAGACAAAATGGTTTTGCTATTTGATGTGAATTGTTTTTCATTTCTTTTTTTCTTACTATCGACGAACAATGACCACCAATGAGTCGAAGAAAAGTAATTGAAACCCGGGCCGCTGAGTGGACACACAGCTGCCTGCTCAATAATAAATGAAAAATAAATGGGATGAGAGATAGAAAAACCAGAAATAAAAACGATAGACATGTATAAAATTGCTGCACAAAATATTAGCAAATGACCGATTATTTAATTTATCCCGCCACAAATTGCATGGTTCGTTATTTATTCGAAACGACCGTTTGGTCTTGGTTGAAATGGCAAACATATTTTTATGTATCAATTAAAGGCAAAAGAAATGTCACATACTCATGACAACGGCGAAAGAAATGACGAAAAAAAAAAGAAATACAGAGAGAGAGAGAGAGAGAGAGAGAGAGAGAGAGAGCAAATAGCAATAAAAAAAAGCCATTGACCAAGCAAATTGGTTATTTGTCAACAACATTCACATATATACATGCATAATTGATTTAAGTGGTTTTAATTTATTTTTAGTTCTCGGTGAATTTGTGTAAGACGCGTGCGCGTCCGCTCATCGAACACACCGCACACAGAGTCTCGTTTTGGTGTGTGAGAGACAGAGAAAGAGAAAGAGCAAAACAATAAAGAAAATGCGCGTTTAAATCACATAAAAAATTATCTCTCTCTCTCTCTCTCTCTCTCTCTGTCTGTCTATCTGCTTTGTAGTTATAGAAAATAATTCGGCGCGTTGATATAAAAAGAAATTAATTATCATAAATTGAACGATCTGACGAAATTGAGCTCATCGTTGACGGGGTGTATTCATTCGAGCCCGACTTCGTACACTATCGCAAACAATTGCATTCGCTGCAATTTTCAGAATAAGCATAAAATTGTCACTACTTCGATTTTTGTTTTACATTTCAATTAGAATATTGGCCCGATTTTAATCCGGCAAGATGTGGGCAATTCATTTAATTTCCGAAACGCTTGAATTCTTTTAACCATTTCCATAAGATTAAATTTCATTTCGATTAAGATGAAAAGAAGGGGAACTGTTTACATAAATAAAAATAAATAGTTCATTGTCTCAAGTTTAATGTGTTTTAATTATATCCAGAAAATAGTCAACATCTATTCGAACTAATCATAAATAATCATCATTACGTTTTCGAGCCGTTGAAAACCAATGAATTCGAAAAACCATTGTATTATGTTTTGTTTTGACGTTTTTTTTCTTCTTCGTATTTCGTTTAAACTTTCTTTCCGCACTACATCAACATTCATGCACACATCCGCACACACGCATCAAATTACTCACTCATTTCACGTATCACACATTTAAATATTAAAAATTCAACACCCGACATCGAAGAAAATGTTAAACACATTTTCTCGGAATAAATGTTAGATAAAAACAAAGAAGAAATTTGGACGCACTCGACGATTTGAAATAGATAGGCTCTGAATTGACCACAAAGCCAAGATTTTTATCAGTTTTTGGAATGGCAATACACACTTTTTGGTGAAAACAAAAGAATTGAATTTTTAATTAAAACATTGAACGCATTAAAAAGAAATGGTAACTGCGTCATTTGCTTGACATGCTTGAACCACCATGACAGAGGAAAAACTATTTTGTCTTATATATCATTTAATAAAAAGAATCTTTATTAAAGATCATCTATCTCAATCAGAGAGGTACAAAGTTTCATGTTTGGAAAATTCACACAGTTTTCGAGCAAAAAGAAATTGTCAAAAAAAAAAAAAACGAAAAAAGACGAACATTTAATTCAATTGCCAACGAACCATTTGGAGGAAAAACGTGATTTTTCAATTTTTACAACTGAAATAATTTGATTTCCAAAGAAAGGATCTCGAATAAATGTTTGGCCACCAAAATAATGGTTCCCTGCCATTAAAAGGAAACGAATTTTTTTAAAGTGTCGTGAATCAAATCAAAATTATTCGAATACAGAGTTAATTGGTTGGTGAGTGCGTGCCAACAGTTAGTTGATCCTAAACACCTCATATCAATTCATCTAGAATAGTCGCTAGAACATGTTATTTTAATTTGATATTGCTTAAGTTTCATTTCACACTCTAGTGTCTAGTGCTTGTATAATAAATTCTACATTTAATTTAATGTGTGTGTTTTTTGCCTATATTTCCAGAGTGCGTCAAATGCAAGCGAATGAATTATTGCAATTTACAATAATAAAAAGCATAAATTACTTGACCAGTTGGTGTATGCATCAAAGTAAGACTACGTAACGAAAACTGCATCTTGTGTGCACAGGCAAAAGTGTAAAAGCGATAGAAAGAGTGATAGCGATATCTTATTGAAAAATAAATCATTTGAATTTTGTGTTGATTTTTTTTCGGCATTCTAATCGTCATTCGAAATTTACTTATTGTTTTGGTTGATTGTTGGTCACAAAATTTAGCGAACCGAAACTCGTTGGGACGAACGTACGCGAAATATATACGAAATTTAAAATAATTTTTTTTTTCAATCGCGTGAGTGAAAAAGCTTGAGAGAGAAAAAACCGAATAGCGACACCGATTGAAAAAAAACAACGGACGCAACCGATTGGTAGATCGATCCATCCAAAAAAATCAGTATTTCCATCAGTTTGAGCTTTGTGCTGGACGCTCACGGAATCACGGTTTATCATTGACGCGGGGTCACAAATTTAGCTGTGATAATATACCACATTCACCTAAACCCGAGACATAAACGAGATAAATTAAACAGATACATTCAAACAACATACATTGTTTACGAACAACTTCTTTTACGTCATCCGAATTCATTTAGAATTTCTTCAAATGTTTTCAATGGTCGAGTGCTACACCGAAATGGGACACATTATCGGCCAAGACGTAAGTGTTTTTATTTTTCTTCTTTCATTTCATTATGTTCTGTAGGTTTTTAGCTTTTAAATGTACACTCTCCCATTCAAAATTACATTTACCGCCTCAAAATTGACTACATTTCGTTCTCAACTGCAAGACGAATCCATTTGAAAATACTATTTTGAATTTCCATTAAGTAAGTTACTAGGCACCACTACCAAACTACCACTATTTTGATGAACAAATTTGTTTTTGGATAATAATTTTTTGCTCGAAAACGCAATAAACTTGCCGGGCACTTTTGGCTCTGATACTATTCATATTAAAGTTTTCGATTTTTTTTTTTCAAAATACTATTAAAATTTGTGATGCAATTTGAAAAGTGCATATGACCATTCATTTTTCTTAAACAGTTTTGATGCAGACTGTTAAACACATTGATTCAGTGGATCTAAAGACATTCGTTGACCAACTGAAGCGCCGATTGTTTACAAAAAAAAATGTATAAAAAAATGAGTTCGATTAGGTGGCTCAAACGTTAAATTCAATTTTATTTATTACAAAAAAATGAGCGCATATCAAACAAGGGAAACGAAAAATTGATGAAATGCATGCTATATATAAAAGCCGAATGTCGAGAATGATTGTCGACGTTGCTGCTGTTACTTGTCGAAATGCGCCTGAGCACATAGTGCAAACACTGTTTGTCACTGATAATAATGAAATACAATTCAGACAATATACAATGTTGCAATGCCGTCAAATCGAATTTTGTCAACAAAACGGTCGAAATGATACCGCAGGGGTACAGTGGTGTGTGCGCACATATAATTTTCGCTACTGTGTAAGCAGCGAGAGAAAAAAAATCGCGCACGAGCGTTTCGCGAGCGGCGATCGATCGAATGCGCTGAGTCTCTCAACTCGTAAACAAGATAATTAATTTTATTTATTTCAACCCGAGCTCGCTGATGATGATGATGACGACGATGAAAATAAAATATCAAGTTGAATGCACGGTCTTGAGTGCTTGCGGTCGTGATCGTGATCAGAGTTTGAAATCGATCACATCCAAACGGCGCTTTCTCAAGAATCGGCTATCGCACCGCTTCTAAAATCGATAGAATAGAAGATAGAAGCGTGCGTTCACACGATCTTATAATGTTCTAGTTCCACCTTAACTAAACTTTTTAGTTCGAAACGATGAACGATTCTTTTATGATAAGCAAACGAACGCTTACACAGAGAGATAGAGAGGGAGAGACACGCATAAAAGAGGAAAAAAATTCAATTTGAATTTCTAATTCAAATCAATATCTGATTGAATGAGCGTGCGCATCAGCGTCTTCCAACGCCTTTTCTAATTGAATTCGATTTCGTATCTATACTTTTTCTCTCTCTCTCTCTTTCTTATTCTCAGTTTAAAAACTGGATAGTCGAATTATGATTATTATTGTGCGCTGGCTACTTGAAAGCCGGCAGATGTAATGTCTCTTTTTTCGTTGCTTTTTTGTCGTATTCGCCATAAATAGATATGTGATCTGAATTTATCTTATTCTTTTATATTCAGGTTTATGATATTATACACTCATATACGCACACAAGTTACACAGATGTGTCGAAAGAAATAAAAAAAAATATCGATAATTTGGTTCACTCAACGAAAATTTCAAATTTTAAAATTCACCCGTTCGATCACTGATCAAGGGCCAAAGCATAAACATGGTCCATCTTATACATATCATACCATATCAAACTTTAAGGCAACATTTTATCCCCGATTCGAAAATCAATGTTTTATTTACACATTTTTCTCACGCTAAAATTCGAAGAAACGCCTTCTACCGTTGTGATAGTTAAGTTTTTCTATAAGTTACGCACAATTAACGATCAAAAATAGTACGAATCAAAATATTGGTTCAATCGAAATAGAAATCTGAGTACCCGAATGCTCAAAACATGTTATCATTCCTTAACCTACCGATGGGCCCTGCCTCATGTAAAATCTAAATGATATGTCATCAGAAAAATTCAATAAAACAACTGGTTCTGTTTGTATTTCTTCATATCGAGCGAGAGTGTATGAGAGTGAGAGAGAACAAGATAAAAACGGGAAAAAGAGAGTGAATAGAGAAAGAACAATCCACAAAAAAACTCAAGTAACATGATACTAAAATGATAAAATTTATCGAAATTAAAATGAACGAAGCCCATAAAACTGCAATAAAACAAAGTTTCTAGTGTTAAAGCGAAGATCAAACGACAATCAAAAGAAGAACGAAAATAAAATTAATACGTACGTATCAAAAAATTCGAAATTCAAAAAAATATATATATTCATGGTTCATTGGCCAATAGAGAGTTTTCGGCATGAAAAGTGTTTGCCTATGAAAATGCGCATTTTATTTTCGTTTTTCAAGACATTCTCTTTATTTTTCATGTGTAAATCGTTATTATGAATAAATAGAAAATACGCACAAGTTTGGGCAACAACGAGATTCAAAAGAGGCACATAAAAACAACATACTCTCTCTCACACACACACACATTCTTGCGCGTGATAATAATATAATCATGTTTGAATTGATAGTCATATACAGAAAAATTCATTGTCGTCACATTCAAACGTTGTATCGATGCTTTTTTTTCTCGGAATTAATATCGCTCGAAAAATTGGCCAAAATCTGAATTTCTATAAATAAAAAGCTGTAAAAAGTTTTCTTTCTGATGAAATCACAGTTTCTGGCTACCACCATTGCTACCGCTACCGGAATCGATGACACTTTTCAACGCAAAAGCAAAAAAATGAACGGCGATTTTTGTGGCCGGGGGCGCCTACAAGTGTCATTCACATTTCCATATCAAATTGAATGTCCGGGAATAATACTGTATGTCATCAATCGCATTCAAATTAATGTTAACTCTCACTTGTCACATCCGATGAAAAATATCGAAAATGGTTCCATTCTTCACAATAATACACAACACACCTGTGCTAATTGAGACGAACATAAACAATCTCTGCAAATTTATTCATGCCATTTCAAAGTGAAGCAATAATTAGAAAAGAAAACATCTTCTTTACGCATATCACAGTATAATAAATGGGCATCGTTTGGTCAGTTGTTTGTGTATTTCGGCATTGTACGCCATAAAATTTCACTTGCTATTTACGTACGAATTTTTTTTATTGCAAACACACTCGATCGGAATGTTAGTTTGAAAAATTTAGAAAAAATAAAATAAATATCCACGATTAATTAATTTTTGGCCCATTTCCATGCACATTTAATCGAAATTTATGGGGAATTTGTTTATTTTTTCATCATTGCATTGAAACGATGATGAGATCAAGAGAGCCACGGAGTAAGACGACGATAGAGAGAAAGAGATCCAATCGCATGTCGATCGAAATTGGCATTGAACATAATTTACATGGTTCAACAAAACTAGAAACGTTCAGAGCGCGCGCGCCCATACACCACAACTCAGAACATTTCAACAGATACGTAAATTAATATCGAACATATATGATTTTTTCATCTTCTTCTCTCTCTTTTGGTCATTGTTGACAAATGAAAAAAAGAAGTAGAAGTTGGTTTTTTTTGGACGACAAACAAAAAGCAAACACACACACTTGATAGTTCAATTTTGCCCAAATGCATGTGTTTGGGTTGGTGACACAAACCAGAATCAATTCGCACACACACCGTCCACGCCTAAGCCGACACGAAGAAAAAAAAGAGTGTATTGTATTTCAGTTGAAATCAATAGAGCACACAATTCATGTGTGTGTGTGTCGTTGTGTCTTTTTTATCTGTTCTTGTTGTTCTTTGCGGTCGTCGATGCTGTTTTTGTAAGCAACTTAAATCTAATGAAATTTATTGCCGCACGTGTGACCGTGTTTCTAATGCAACATTTCAATAATTTTCATTTTGTGCTCATTCTCTCCCTCTCTCCCTCCCTCTCTCTCTAGCTCCCTCGGCGTGTGCCGTGTCTCACTCTACCGTCTTCGATCTTTCTGTTTTATTTTTAATATACACCATTATCTATCGTTAGTTCGGCTCATCCAACTACACGCTTGTAAACACTTGCATACACCGTGTCTATCGATTCTAATTGCACAACACGACCGTCTATGAAGTGAAAGAGAGATTGTCTTACATGTGTATAACATATAGTTTATATGTTGTCTTTAGCAACGTATTTATTTCATGATATTTGCATTTTAAATAGAATTCTTGTATATATCTGATTTAGAATGTATACACAAATCAAAAAAATGAGAATGAAACGAATGAGAAAGATAGAACGAGAAAGAGAAAGAGAAAAATCGGTTCAAGTTGTTTACTTTTTGGTTTGCACTTTTCAGGGCAGTGCGCGCGTACACACACACAAGCACGCGCGCGCGTACGCTTTTTTTTCTATTCAATTTCATTTCACTTTTCTTATTGAGCTATATATACATGCATATTTTGTATATTTGATTGTTGTTTGGCATGCACATAGTACATTGAGTAGCATATATGCAGGCCATCTTACGATATGCCGCTTTTGCGACAAATAGCGAAGGGAAGAGAAAAGAACAAAACAAGAATTGTTGCCGCTGGCGTATAAAAATAATATATCTCGGTAATTTAATTCGATACAATTGTTTTGATGTTGTATTTCATTTGTCAATTGAGTGCATAAATTTATTCATGGTTTGAGCGAGCGCGCAGGCCACAGTTGCAACAACAATCATCTGTTCCTATATCTTTTTCACTCGGCAATTTAAATTTCAATTTTGCAATTGTTTGAGCCGAACAAAAAAACACATCGATTCGATGATTCACCACATCATTGAGTTCTGAATTTTCACCAATCAATTTCGAAACGTTCTAAAAACTAAAGCGTCCGCACATATTGGCTCATAATTTATTCACGGCAATCGACTTGGATCGCTTTTATAGAATTTCGTACAAACGGAAGAATTCGCATGAATTTGATCATAGTCAATTTCTCTCAATGCACTGCGTGCACATGGATTTAATATCCGCAGCCAAGTAATGTAATTGTTGACTTGTTGCTATTTGAATTTATCAAGCAATTTATTTATTGTTTATTATCATTTATGCAGACAGTGTGTAATGATTTCTTTATGAATATTAATGAAGTTGCGTCTGATATTGCCAGTCTATCCATTTATTTCCAGTTTTGTTTTTATAATAATTGTATTTTGCTTACGAAGCAGCTCAGATTCAAATCATTCGTGATTTTACACAAGCTTAATCGTTTTTTTGAATACCTAGTAAAGATGCTAAACTCGAACCATATCCTGTTCAATACCATGTTCAATATTCGTTTATTATGAAGTCCTTCTCGTTTTTTTGCTTAAAAAAAATCACCAATACTTTTGAACATAAGAAACTTAAGATAAAAAAAAATATGAGGGACAGAGCTGTTGTTGGTACAGCGGAGGTTTGGGCACTTTTGTTGTAGGTGCTGCTATTTCTGAATGGAATAATGTACCCGCTCATCTCCGGTGCCAATAACAGCTCTGATTCGGGAACACATACACCGTATTCGAGCCAATTGCGAGGAAATTTATGCTAATTTCATTCTGGCTGTAAAAAATCTTGCAGTTTACCCAAATAGAAAACGAAACAGACAATAAGATCACATTTGGAGGCACAATATTACTCATAAAAAATTCAAATTAATATACACTGCGAAATATTTTTTTTTTATTAAAAGTTCTCTTTTTTTCCACACAGTACGGTCTTAAGCAGCATTTTATGGATCAAATTGAATTTGATCATGTTACACAAGGTATGTTTCATGTTTTAATCAATAAAATACACAAATCGCTGATCGATTTGATATTGTTTATCGAGAAAAAAAATGTAAGAACAATTCAAAAATCCCTAATCGTCATCTCTATTTTATTTTCAAGTCATCGCCTATCATCCAAGTTATTTGGAACACTTTTTGAAGATTCAAACATTCATAATGCACGCTGATGGACCATTACCGTATGAATATCGACACTACCTCGCCATCATTGTAAGTTTTCAATTCGCATCGCAATTGCGACTGAATGCAAAATGTTCACATGTCATGATTTTTATTCGGCTCCAGGCTGCTGCACGTCATCAATGCGTTTATTTGGTGAATTTGCATAAGAAAGAGTTTCTCGATCAGCATGGCGATCCGAATTGGTTGAAAGGTTTGGACTTTATACCACCGAAACTTCGTGCCATTTATGATATGAACAAAATACTTGCACATCGACCATGGCTTTTAAATAAGGAACACATTGAGGTGAGTGGCAATCATTTTATGGAAAAATTCGTAATAGATTGTGTTAATAGTTCATAATTTATTTTTGTGTACCAACAGCGCTTGACCAAAGGACCGAATAATTGGTCATTATCCGAAGTAGTGCATGCAATTGTTTTGCTGTCCCATTTTCATTCGTTGTCATCGTTTGTGTTTTCATGTGGTTTAACACAAGAATTGGATCCAACATCTAGTCAAAAATACAATAAAAATGTGCAAAAACCAAGCGGCAACACATCACCGCCAAATCGATGGGGATTTGGTAATCGTTCCAATTCAATAGGTATGCAAACAATTTAAGAAAATGCAACATTTTACCGGAATTTCGAAAGATTAAAAAAAAATTATTGACCTTTTGTTTTCTCAGGTCAAAGTAGACAAGAGGTCAGTGTTGATGCTTTGATGCAACGCATGCGTACACTGTCGCAGAAGCAGGATGAATGCAGCGAAACTGAATTGAACGATCGCTTTAAAACGGTCGAAATGCAGGTTAGTCTCTCACCTCTATTCCCCTCAAAAATAGAATTTTCTTCAAAAAAAAAATGATCGCTAAATTCCATGTTGTCAACCCAGGCACACGAATTACCCGACACCATAAAAGAGCCAATTATCGAGATTCCCGAAAATATCAATCATTTCATCGAAGATCCATTGTTTACATATCAAGATTTTACACGACGTGGTGCCGAAAATGTGCCAAGCACATTCCGTGTACAAGGTATGCAAACCATTTTGAGAAAAAGCAACATTTTGCCAGAATATGAAATGAATATTTGGTTTTTCTTTCTTTCAAGACTATTCATGGGACGATCACGGTTTTTCATTGGTAAATCGTTTATACAATGACGTTGGCCATTTGTTGGATTTGAAATTCCGATCTGCATACAATTTAACATATTTCACAATGGCCGATAAAACCAATGTCGATACATCGAAATTTCGACGTGCCATTTGGAATTATATTCAATGCATCTATGGCATTAGACACGATGATTACGATTATGGTGAAGTGAATCAAGTGAGCTACTTTTATTTTCGTTTTTCGTTCTTTTTTAATGAGCGATTGGTGAGTTTTATTCGTTTTACTAATTTGAATTTTGAATTGCAGCTGTTGGAACGATCATTGAAAATGTTCATAAAGACCGCATGCTGTTTTCCGGAGCGCATCACTAAGAAAGATTACGACAGTATTTTAACGGAATTGAAACACAGTGAAAAGGTATGTTAAATGCACAAAAGAATATACAAATGCTTGCATGTTCAATGTATTAAAAAAATTCTCGAGAGTTTCACTTGGCGTTGATGTCAGCGGTTAACTTCAAATTCATGCAGCTGAGTGTGCATCAATAATTTATGACTGATTTTATATGAGCATAGATGGTTGGCAATCCAGAGGAGGAGTTATTTTCAGAAAAATTAAAAAAAAAAATTGGATTTCCTGGGGGAGCATAGCTTCTGACGGTAGCGAGGGGGGTTAAAATTTTCAAAAAATGTCAAAGATGTAGAGGGGTAATTAGTTTCTCAAAAATGAATTGAAGGCCTACAAAAAGGTCTTCACTTTTCCAGAGAAAATCTCCAGAAAATCTAATTTCATTCAAATAAGGGGGTTTTGACGCCACTCGGACAAAAATTGACTTCCAGAAGAATTTCTCCCATTTCAAAACTTGATGAGCTAAAAAAACGCCTTCACTTTTGAATTTACGAACATTTTTCCCAATTTGTAAATGAGTAAGTTCAAAGTCCGTTCTCAATGGGGGATAATCCGACCGCTCGAACCCAGGGTTATTTGGTCTCAGATGAAAATTCACAATTTGGAAAGGGGTCTTGAACTCCTGGAAGAGGGTAAGACTCACAGTGCAGAAGTGGGAAGACTTTAATATCCCTGAATTTTCAGTCAAATAATTACATCAACGCTGAGTAAAACTCTGAATTATTTTATTGTTTTGATTTTTTCTTTGTTTTTTACACATGTTTATTTTTTGCAGGTTCACGTAAATCTAATGATACTCGAAGCCCGAAACCAAGCAGAACTATTGTATTCATTGCGCGAAATCATGAGATACATGACGTGATTTGCGATTACGGCAAAATAATTTCAATGAATTGATCCCATTTTATGATGTAATTGATTTAACGTTAGTGGAGAAACACAGAGAAGGGTGACTTCTCACACGTCATCGCCGACTCTATTTTGATGAAAATGATCTAGTTTTTTCTATTGAAGACAATCATAAAACGATATAGACACATAAACTATTTTATTGTGCCATTGACACAACAACAAAAGACCGGTTTCATTCAGTAAACAAACACACACATACACAAAACTATAAATCGAGATTTCTTGTATGCTTTTATCATCGGCTCGAAACTAAGTCTTTTTTTATAGATTTAAATTTAGTGGATTATGAAATGCATATACATAAATAGACATTTAAAGAATCAAATAACATTTGTGGACAGAAGAAGAGAAAAATACAATTAGGTGGTTAGAGCCGGGAATATGCCTAAAACAATTGTATGTTTCGTTCATTTTAAAAAAAAGTAATTTGTGTAATTGTCGTGTTCTATATGATATTTTTGTGCGATTGAAGCATTCATTTGTGATCGACTTAACCATCTTATAAACTGTATTTTATATATTTCTAAGTGATTATTAAATACTTTTCTTTCCTTTTGTTTTTTGTTCTACGGAGAATTTTTATTTATAAAATGTCCAACTCGACTATTGTTATCATGTGAGGCATGTGAGGCATGTGAGGGAATTTATGTTCGTTTATTTAGTATCTTCAATTCTATTATGATTAATTTTACACACATATTACATTTGAGTTTCGTTTTATAATTTGTCAAAACATTTGCAAACGTGATCGCTAACGTGTTCGAACCAATTAAGAAGTGAATATATTTTAGTTTTTAGCAATATGCTGCATACATTAACACACACATATTAACACATATATATATATACCGATTTTTTAAAAACAAGTCATAGACGTACATTTTCTATACATGATTAGAAATTATGAATTAAATTTAAATATAAATTATATCTATAAAGAAAAATGAACAAAAAAATATTAAAGAAAAATAAATGAACACTTTTATTCGGAATGTTGTTTTTTTTTTAGTTTGACTTATGCGGACTTATGGAATATATTTATTATGGCTCCAAATTTAAGATTTCTCACTTGAAATCCAATTATCCAGGAAATAATGAAGTAAATGCTTATAACTGAAACTACTAGCACCATCTATTGCTGATTGTATTGAATTTAAATCAAATCGCTTGAAAGCTCTTATCAACCAGATTTTTATACTACTCAATAAGTGAAACAAGAATCTCAAATAAATTAGGTGAGCAAATAGAAATACACTTCATTGAAACTAGCATTTTGGTATGTAGAACACTCGCTATCTGTTTGGTGTTTCAATTGGAGGTGAATGGTGTTTTTACCACCGCTTTTGGCTATGTTCTTTCAATCGAAATCAAAACTCTCTAAAGGTATTCCCTTTAGAAATATTTATTGGACACTACACAATAAAACTGCAACGTGCCCATACATTTTTTATATGAACATGTTGCCCTTTTACTTTAACAAATTTCCTAATCTCACGAATATTCTAACCGATTCAGATATGGTTGTGGTTTCTCTGCCATTTGTGCACTTTCATCAAATGCCCTTTTTCCCGATTTATGCTTGTCCGTAATTGAGACCAAATACAATGTATTCAAATTGATAGATTTCTGTACATCATTCGTTTTCATAAGATCGGTAATTATCTTTTCAAGCATGTGTTTTGGGTTTCGCTTCGTTGAATTCAGAAATGATTCATTGGGAAGAACGTTTTGATATAAACATAAAAATCCCCAAAGACTCTAAGAAACTCAAAAATACATGTTATTAATGGTTTACAAACGTGTAAATTTAATTATCAAATAGAATAATTCGATTTTTTATTCGCCGAATAAAACAAAAAAACAGATAGAAAGGACTTTTTTCGACTCGTTTATCTCGAAAGGAGTAGAGATCAAGATATTTCATCATTTTGTCGCATCATTCTCATTGGAATTTTTCGTACAAACAAAATGGTTTTAACATTTGATTTAAATTTAAGCATTTTTTTACTGTTATATATTATGGTTAGCTATTTATAGTAAGCCTGCCAGATCGCCCGGATAAATCCGGTGTCGCCCGGA